TCTAAATCAAAAGATTCGCGAACCGGCTCTGAAGTTCCGATCTAAATCAAAAGATTCGCGAACCGGCTCAGAAGTTCCGATCTAAATCAAAAGATTCGCGAACCGGTTCCGAAGTTCCGATCTAAATCAAAAGATTCACGAACCGGCTCCGAAGTTCCGATCTAAATCAAGTGATTCGCGGTTTGCGCTCCGAAGTTCCGCTCCGTCCCAGTTCGCCTACTTATACTATGCCCTAAAAGTATGTACTCTTTTTGTGAAGAAAAAGTACATACTTCTGAGTATGTAGAAGACTAATAGGCAAGCTTCGGGACATACTACTTCATCATAGCTGCGTCTTTAACGGATGCTCTGTTGCTTAGTTACGTGCATTCTGTCACTGTTTAAACTGCCCTGTCAATCATCTTGTCAACGTTAACATTATCCACATTTCATTTAATTTGATTTCCTACCGTATTGGAGAGAAATGAAGAGGCACGCTATGCCGAGAACTCTGCTCGTGTGTTTACATAATGATGCATTTAAAAGTTAATGACCAAGCGTATCATTATAAAGTTCACAGTGTTGCTGCAGGTGAAATATAACGCGGATAACATTAAATAAATATTTTTTCAACCGGTTACATATTATCACTCAAACCCCGTTCTCTACCTGTCCGTAGTTCTCACATATCCACCATGTTTGTAGTTTTTAACACTTTTCATAGTGTTTGTAGTTCTAATTTTAACTGCTCAATAATGTCACATAATTTGTGTGCTTAATTAAACTCATGAGAGTTCTATATTTACTCTAAATGTCTAAATATAAAGCATTGTTTACTTCATCGCTATCACACAGTAAAAGAGTGTGTGCGGAGATGTTTCTGTTTATAAATGCTGATATGTGCGTGACAAGGTTTATAGATCAGGCCTGTCTCTTTTGTGCAATTTTAGTTTGTTTGGCATACAGAATGAAACAATTTTGTTTGTTTTTCATCTATATGGTATTGCACAGAAAAAATAAATAATATATAAAAGAAAAGTTAACATCGATTTTTCTTAAACGATTTCAAAATATCATCTTTGAAGGACATAGTTATCAGTGAATTCATTCATCGTTATGAAGTGCACAGTGTGCCGAAACTTTTCGAAGTTTTGAATCAATTGAACCGATTCCTCCGCAAAATGATTCAGTGTTTCGAAGCGCTGGAGACCCCTGCTGGTCAGAACGGTGTAAGTGCAATGAAAACTCAGCCAAGCATGCATAAAAACACCTTTTACAAACAACTGTAAATGTTTAATTGAAAAGGTACTGTATTAAATGCAATTAACAAATCATCTAATACCATCAACTACAAAGTGTCTGTATAATATGTGTTATTTGGCTTGTTTTGTTTGTTTTATGAAGAGCTTAAGAAGTCCAAAATCCAGATAGCACAGGCACGTCTGCAAGACGTCTGTTAAAGATCGCTTCATCTGGAAAGCATCTGCTGTGTGCAAACATACGGTGGCCGAGAAGTGCAAAGCAAATCACAATTCTGAAAACAGATGGATAAGCGCATGTCGTCGGCTTTTTGACGCGATCGACCCGGGTTCGATCCTGCCTTTTGCCGAACTTTTTTTTTCTCCCTTTTCAAATCTCGTATCACATAGTAAAGGCATTTATTTTCAATAACAATTAAGGAAATAATCAAAAAGTTGAAAATAAAGTATCGGGTAGGGTTAGGGTAGGTGTAGGGAGGGCTTTATTGTACCAATAAGGTGGCATCCATGTAATAATTAAAATTTAAATTATAATTTACACTCAATACGTTATTATTGCATACTGTTTTTATAATGTACTACAATACTGAAGTGCAGATAATTGCCACTATTTGCAACAAGTAGTATACTTGATAGTAGAAATCCTGCTATTTTAACATAGTGTAAATAGGTATTTGCACTTAGTGTAAATAGCATATTGCTAAAAAATACTGCTATTTTCACTTAGTGTAAATAGAATCCATTGCTAATACGAGATTTGAAAAGGGAGAAAAAAAAAAGTTCGGCAAAAGGCGGGATCGAACCCGGGTCGATCGTGTCGAAAAGCCAATGACAAGCGCTTATCCATCTGCGCCACTGAAGCTTCTGATTTATAATCACTTTTAACTAAATATAAATATACACTCCGTATTTTTAATTCCATAGTAAGGGCAATTCATACAATACATTTAAACTGAGCTACTTTAATACCATCTCCAAACTTTCTACCACGACTCTGCTGTTCTTCGGCTGGCTCTTCCTGTATACGTTGATTGACAGATGTCTCGTCCAGTCAGCGGTGAGTAATCCCAAACCAATGGCGCTGTCTCAAACTATACC